GGATGAGGACATTCTGCTTATGCAGGAGTTGTTGGAAGAGGAAATTGGTCATCCGGTGGGACAGGGCGAGGAGCAGGCGCCTGAGCTTAGTTAGCCAGGCTTTAGGGACGTGAGCGGCCCGGCTCCGGGGCCGAGCACTAGTGGTGCTTGCGTGGTGACTGATTTGACGGAGGATGAGGCTCGTGCCGAGGATGCTTAGTGCTCTCCGCTCTCTTTTTTTGTATTTTGGGGCCTGCGATGCCCTTTTATCTGGCGTCTGTGCCGTTTTCTGTATTCTGAACTTAGGCATTTGGTGCCATATATATTACTTTTGATTGTTCTGGTTTCTCGTGTTGTCTCCTTGAATGAATGAATTGTTCTTTTGTTTCTCTTCCTTATTCTTGTGCGTGTTACCTCAGCGTGGCCTGATGGCTAAGGCATGTAGGCCTTATGTCGGGCTGAGTTGGTGCATTGCTTATTGGTATAGGACTCTTCTCGTTCGGTCGGGTTGACCGAGTGTGTAGTCCCCTGGATGAGTGGCGGTGCATCTTGAGTTCAGTTTTTGGGTTGGACGGGGCCGGTCTCATGGTGCCAAGTCTTGGATCGGGCAGGCCGATCTTATGGTGTTTTCGAGAGTCGAGCGGGGTGGATTCGAGCGTGAGTAATTCATCGTCCGGTTCGAACTTGGGGGTGTCTGTATGTATATCGGGCATGGCCGATTTGAAGGTGTCCGTACGTGCATTGAGCAGGGCCGACTTGAAGGTGTCCGTCCGTTCATCGGGCATGGCCGATTTGAAGGTGTTCGTGTGTATATCGGGCAGGACCAATTTGAAGGTGTTCGTACGTATATCGGGCAGGGCCAATTTGAAGTTGTCCGTACGTTCATCGATCATGGCCGATTTGAAGGTGTTCGTATGTGTATCGGGCAGGGCCGATTTGAAGGTGTTCGTACGTACATCGGGCATGGCCGATTTGAAGGTGTTCGTTCGTGCATCGGGCATGGCCGATTTGAAGGTGTTAGTACGTACATCGGGCATGGCCGATTTGAAGGTGTTTGTATGTGTATCGGGCAGGGCCGATTTGAAGGTGTTTGTACGTACATCGGGCATGGCCGATTTGAAGGTGTCCGTATGTGTATCGGGCAAGGCCGATTTGAAGGTGTTTGTACGTACATCGGGCATGGCCGATTTGAAGGTGTTCGTACGTATATCGGGCAGGGCCGATTTGAAGGTGTCCGTACGTATATCGGGCAGGGCCGATTTGAAGGTGTCCGTACGTATATCGGGCAGGGCCGATTTGAAGGTGTCCGTACGTATATCGGGCAGGGCCGATTTGAAGGTGTCCGTACGTATATCGGGCAGGGCCGATTTAAAGGTGTCCGTACGTATATCGGGCAGGGCCGATTTGAAGGTGTCCGTACGTATATCGGGCAGGGCCGATTTGAAGGTGTCCGTACGTATATCGGGCATGGCCGATTTGAAGGTGTCCGTACGTATATCGGGCAGGGCCGATTTGAAGGTGTCCGTACGTTCATCGGGCATGGCCGATTTGAAGGTGTAAGTAACTTGATTCGAAGATGAGAATTACTGAATAATACTTCATTAAATATCTGGCCATGAGGCCGACTGTCTGAGAGGAGGTGGATAGGCCCACTCATCCTTTTTATTAACAATGAAAAGAAATGGAAACAAAATTCCCAACAAGAACGGGGTTCACCTACGAGTAGTAACGTTTGAGGTGAACGGCATTCCAACTGTTGTTGATGTCTTTGCCCTCGGGGGTCTGGAGTTTGTAGGCGCCTTTCCCTGCTTCTTTGATTATCTTGTAGGGGCCTTCCCAGGTGGGTCCGAGTTTGCCAGAGTTAATCTCCTTGGTGTTTTGGAAAACTTTACGAAGGACCCAGTCGCCTATCCTGAAAGTGCGGATCCTCACGCTGCGGTTGTAATGACGGGCGGCTTGTTGCTGGTAGGCTGCGTTGCGGATACTTGCTTGTTCTCGTAGTTCGTCCACAGTGTCAAGGTTCTGGCAAAGGTTTTGGCTATTTGATTTCTCGTCCGCCCACTGGAGCCTGGTGGATGGAACTGATATTTCGGCTGGGATGACTGCTTCTGAACCATATGTCAGGGAGAACGGTGTTTCGCCAGTTGATGATCGAGCCGTGGTTCGGTATGACCAGAGGACTCCGGGTAGCTCGTCCGCCCATGCGCCCTTAGCTTTCTGTAATCGCTTCTTCAGTGTCTGCATGATTGTTTTGTTTGACGACTCGGCCTGGCCGTTAGACTGGGGGTTGCGGGGTGTTGAGAAGCTTAACTTTATTCCCCACATGTCACAGAAATCCCTGAAGCCTGAACTAATGAACTGGGACCCATTATCGGTGACAATCTCCTTTGGTATTCCGAACCTGCAGATCACGTTCTTCCAGATGAAAGCTTTGACTTCTCGGTCTCTGACTTGAGCGAAGGCTTCGGCTTCGATCCACTTGGTGAAGTAGTCTGCCACTGCCAACATGAAGACTCGTTGCCCCGATGCAGTAGGTAGCTTTCCCACGATGTCTATTCCCCACTTCATGAATGGCCACGGTGTCAGAATGGAATGGAGTCGTTCTGGTGGGAGGTGTGAGACGTGAGCAAACCTCTGACAGCTGTCGCATCTCTTTGCGTAAGCGATCGAGTCGGTGCGGATGGTCGGCCAGTAGTAACCCGCGGTGATCACCTGGTGAGCAAGACTTCGCCCCCCTGCATGGTTGCCGCATTCGCCTTCATGGAGTTCGGCTAGAACCTTTTGGGCTTCTTCTAGGCTTATGCATTTGAGGTAGGGGCCTGAGAATGACTTTCTAAGGAGTTGACCCCCATGTAGGGTGAATCTGGCGGCTTTTGCTTTCAGTCGGCGTGCTTCGTTCTTGCCAGCCGGGAGCTCATCGTCTTCCAGGTACTTCACTATCGGGGTCATCCAACAGTCGGCTTGCCCAATGCTCATGGCTTCTATAGGAGACTTGTTGGGTGGCGGTTCTTTCCAATTAGCTGGCCACTGCATGAATAGGAGAGGGATGGATGACTGAGAGGAACATGGGAGTGCTGAGCCAAGGTTGGCGAGGGCGTCGGCATGGTTATTCTTAGCTTTGGGGATCTGTACTATCGAGAACTCTTCGAATTCGGCCTGCAACTCTTTGACCATGCTTAAATAGGATGTCATTTTTGAGTCACGTGCTTGGTACGTACCTTGTAGTTGATTGACCATGAGTTGGGAGTCTGACTTCACCTCTAGTCTCTTGGCGCCAATATCTCTGGCCAAGGTAAGTCCAGCTAGGAGGGCTTCGTATTCGGCCTCGTTATTCATGCACTTGAACCCACAGCGGACTGCTCACTGGATGATTTCTCCCTCTGGTGCGATCAGTACTATTCCGAGTCCGCTTCCGTTGACATTACTCGATCCGTCTACTAGGAGAGTCCATTTTGAAGGTGGTGCGCCGTTCATGCATAGTAATTCTTTTTCGGCCTGTGTGGTTTCGCTTGGTGTGAAGTCGGCAATGAAATCTGCTAGTGCCTGGGACTTGACGGCGGTGCGTGGTTGGTATGATACGTCGTACTCGCTGAGTTCTACTGTCTATTGCATGAGTCGGCTTGATAGCTCTGGTTTGTGCAATATTTTCTTGAGCAGGAATGAGGTGATCACAACTATAGGATGGCACTGGAAATACGGTCTGAGCTTCCTGGATGCATGGATGAGGGCAAGGGCAAGCTTTTCCAGTTGGCTGTATCGAGTTTCTGCGTCGAGGAGTGATTTGCTAATGTATTAGACCGGTGACTGCTTTGTTTCTTCTTCTCGAACTAGCACTGCTGATATGGCCGTCTCGGAGACCGCTAGGTAAGTGTAAAGCTTCTCCCCGTCCATGGGCTTGGATAGCAGCGGGGGGGTAGTCAAATACCTCTTCAGCTGTTGTAGGGCTTCTTCGCATGAGGGAGTCCAGTCAAACTTGTTGGATTTTTTGAGGGCGTGGAAGAAGAGGTGGCACTTGTCAGCGGACCTGGAGATGAAGCGGCTGAGGGCGGCCACTCGTCCTGCAAGACGCTGGACATCTCTGACGCAAGTCGGGGATGGTATGCTGAGAACCGCTCTGATCTGGTCGGGGTTTGCTTCTATTCCTCGCTGAGTAACCATATAGCCCAAGAATTTACCTGATGAGACGCCGAATGAGCACTTTTCTGGGTTCAGTTTCATGTTGTACTTCCGGAGAATGGCGAATGCCTGGCTGAGGTGGTCGAGGTGTTGTTTGGCAATCAAGGATTTGACGAGCATGTCGTCGATGTAAACTTCCATGGTCTTCCCTAAGTGGTCTGAGAACATTCTGTTGACCAGACGTTGGTAGGTGGCTCCGGTGTTTTTCAGTCCAAACGGCATTACTTTGTAACAATAGGTTCCCCACTCTGTGATGAAAGCTGTCTTCTCCTGGTCGTCCGCATGCATTAGAATCTGATTGTATCCCGAGAAGGCGTCCATGAAACTGAGGAGTTCGTGCCCTACGGTCGCGTCTACCATCATGTCGATATGTGGGAGGGGGAAAGAATCCTTGGGGCAGGCTTTGTTCAAGTCAATGAAGTCGATGCAGACTCTCCACTTCCCGTTCTTCTTCTTTACGACTACGACGTTTGCCAGCCATTCGGGGTTGTGGACCTCTCTGATCATGCCGTTGTTTAGGAGTTTTTCGATCTCTTCATTGATGATCTGGTTCCGTTCGGGTGCGAATTTCCTCCTCTTCTGCTTGATTGGCGGGTGATCCGGATCTGCCTTGAGCTGGTGGACCATTGCGTCTGGATTGATTCCGATCATGTCGGCATGGGACCAGGCGAAGAGTCTTCATTCAGTTTTAGAAAACCTATCAGCTTCTCTCTTGTCTCGGGGTCGAGGCGGGAGCCTATGTGTGTTTTTCTTTCTAGGTCATCCGGGTGTATCTGCACTTCATCCAGCTCCTCCATGGTCGGTTGGTCGGGTTCTGCTTGAGGGGTTGGACGAGACTGTAATTGCTATGAAGAGTTTCCCGTGCCTTTGAAGGCATTTTTGTAGCAGTCCCTGGAAGCTTTAGGGTCACCCTTTATCTCTCGTACTCCCCACTTGGTCGGAAATCTGATTGTTTGGTGGAAAGTAGATGGGACTGCCCGCATGTCATGGATCCAGGGACGGCCTAAGATGACGTTGTAAGGGGATGGGCAGTCGATCACCAGGAAGACTGTCTGTTTGTTTACTCTGCCGGCATAGATAGGAAAGATGATCTCCCCGATGGTGTATTTCTGCTCCGAGCTGAATCCAACTAGCAGTGTCGGTCGCCTGTTGATATTTGCTTCTTCCAGTCCCATTGCTTTGACCGCTTCGAGGAATAGGATTTTTGCTGACGAACCCCCATCTACGAACACTCTTTTCACTAGGATGTTGGCTATTTGCAGGGAGAGGACTAAAGCGTCGTGGTGAGGAGCGGCTAGGGTGATCGGTTCGTCATCCTCGAACTGAATTACCTGATGGGAGTATGACTTCGAGACCGGGTGGATGGATTGGACTTCATGGTGGCTAGTTCTAGCATGCCGTTTCGCTGATGAGTAACTTACCCCACTGATTTCTGATCCTCCGGAGATTAGCGAGCATAAACCCTTCAGTGTGGGTTCTCGCGGAGGAGGCGACTGTTGTTTGGAACTTTTCTGGCTAATGGTGTTCTTCCCCTTGTCAGTGAGTAGATCACGGAGATGTCCTCTCTTTAGAAGTACGGCAACCTCGATCCGCAAGGCGATGCAGTCTGCCGTGTTATGCCCATGATCGTTGTGGAACTCGCACCACTTGGTTGTGTCTCTCCTTGCCTCGGGATTGAGCTTACCAGGCCACTTGACGGCGGATCCCATTCCTTTCATTATCGCTACGACCTGGGTTGGTTCGATGCTGAGACTGTATTCTGGTATTTTGAACTGGTTCGATCCCAAATGCCTGTTATTACTTCTCGAGGGTAGGCGGTCATATGGTCTCCTGGCTCTGCCCATATTCCGTGCGGGGGGTTGGTAGTAGTGTTCTACCGGTCTAGGCTCTGGTTTCCTGTCGTTCCGCCTTGGTTCGTATCTGGAATGGGCGGCTCGGTTCATCTCATCTTCCTCTCACCTTATCTGGATAACGGCTCGGGCCAGAGCGTCTTCCATGGTAGTGCAGCCCAGCTTTGTAAGCTCTTTGTATAGTTCTCCATCTGGGAGGAGGCCTTTCCTGAAAGCGTCCACAGCAGTCTCGGGGTTACAGGAATGAATAGAGATCTTCTCTTTGTTGAATCTGCTAACATACTCTCTCAATAGTTCCCCCCTTCGTTGGTATACTCGGTACAAGTCAGCCGACAACTTCTCTAGCTTCTTGCTGCTGGCGAACTGTTCCACAAAGGTGTCAGTAAGCTGAGCGAATGAATCGATGGATCCGTTCGAGAGGTTCGTGTACCATTGGAGCGCCGGGCTGGACAAGCTAGAACCGAAACTTTTGCACATGCAGTTTTCTCTAAGCGGTCGGGGTATGGAAACAGTGAACATCCGCTGCTTGTACGAGGCTATGTGGTCGTCCGGGTCAGTGGTACCGTCATATGGTTTCATGTTGGGGATAGTGAATTTCTGGGGCATGTCAGCCAGGGCGATCTTGTCCGCAAAAGGTGAATCTGCGTAACAATTCGGTTTGCTTTTCTTGGTTGGGATTGGCATTCCTGGGATACGCCTCATTACCGCCTCAACGTCGGCCAGTCTCTTGGCCAGTAACTGTTCCATAGGGGAAGGGGATACTATCGGGTCATCCCGTCTTACCGAGTCTGGTACGTCTTGTGGGGTCATCCCTCGGGGGGTAGACTAATAGATTAGTCCGTCGTGCGCTCCTTGGTAGCATGTGTCTTCGTTCATCCCTTCTGGTTGGATGACTCCCATTGTCACTGTTCTGTTGTTCTTCCCTACATGAACAGTCAGGGGAGTTGTCTGGTAGTTATTCGGTCTTTCGGGATGGATGGGCTCAAGAGCTGGAGTTGGTTTGGTTTGGCCGTTCACCCCGCGAGGGTGACCCAGGCAGGAGGGGGTTTGTGTTTGGGTTGACTGAAGGGGAAGTGGTATGGTGGAGATGGGTTGATCCTTCGGGTTCTCTATTGTTGGATCGTTTTGATCACGAGGCTGGGATGGGTCGACTAGACTGCGCCCTGTTGTATCTTTATCTCCGTTAGTCAGAACGGAGTAGTCGAGCGCCAATGCGTTAAGCGGGTGCGGCCCTTTACCAGAATCCGAGGGTTGATGCTCTGGTGTGGAGAGGGCTTGCATGGATGGGATAATGGTGCGGAACCGATTGGGGGGTGCTTGGTCGGGCAGAAACTCGAGTTCATAGAATCGACTTACTTTCTCTTTTAGCGATTGGTTCTCGACCCTGATGGATGTGTTTTCGGCTTCCAGTGCGGCCACCTTGTCTAAGTTCTATTGCATAAGAGCGGTCAAAGCCTCCAGTCTGGCCTCGAGGCCTGAGTTAATGTCGTCTGGATTGTCAGCCATGGAATATTCCTCCACGTAGCAAGGTTCGTCACGCTAAATGATTGCTAGAGTCCCCACGGTGGGCGCCAAACTGTAGACGTAAAAATCTACCTGTACGGAAAGGGGGGTCTGATCCCGCGAGGTTGAGGCCACTAGCGATCTGCTGTACCTGCACACGTAGAGAAACACACGCGTGAAGCGAACTGGAAACACCAGGGTGGTGTTTGCCGTAGGCACTCCGACGCTCAAGTCAGCAAGGCTGAGAGGCTAATATAGTGAGGGCTAGGGAATGAAAGATTATCGGAAGTCTAGTCGGGGACTGGGACTACGGCGAATAAGCGAGACTCAAGTGAAGAGCCTCGGGTGAAGGTGTAATGTCGATGTCCTTTGTGAGAGGGCTATCCTCTGCTTATATTGTGGTCGTCTGGTCTTCCAATCCTGGTGGGAGCAGGAGTCCTAGTGTGACTGTGATGCCAACCCTAGAAGAATCAGGGCCGTAATCAACTGTCCTTATCAGTGTCTAAATAGGAAGTTAATTCCATTTAGGAGAATTGACCCCCAAGTAGGAAAGTCGCCAGGAAAGAGGAGGATGACCTTGAATAGGGGATTGATCAAGAATGGGAAAATGTTGAGGGGGCTATGGGCTCTGGGCTCACCCATAGGCCTAGATACTGGACAGAGCCTAATAGGCTCGTGCCTATGTAGTTCAGGCCAGTTATACTTCGTGAGAGATAGGGCTAATCCTAATTGGGCCTCTGCAAGATTGGACCTGGTCATTCTTCACCAGTGATCTTGTTTCCCTATTTGGGCCGAGGACGATTTTTGGCCCTAACAATGAGCAAGACATGGAAGAGTTATCCTGCAATTTTGAGTTAGAAACACAGAGATTTGGTACAAAATTTAACTGAGGAGAAAGAGGAGTAGTAGATGGTGAAACTTGCTTACCAACTGCTACAGAAGAGGATGGAGAAGAGCAGAGTTTTGCTGAAGAGACTTTGCTGTTTGTATCAGTTGTACAAGGCACAAAAAAAAAAAAAAAAAGGAAATCTGCCTATGGTGGAGATGTTATTAGTATCAGGAGAGGACTGATGTGTTGGTGCAGGAAAGGGAAAACCAGTGGCAAAGGGAAATTGTGTTTCATTGAATTGGACACTAGGTGTAATGATAATTCTATTTTCAGCAGTAAGACATTTATATCCTTTATGGACAAGACTATAATCAACAAAAACACATTTAGAAGAGTGAAAATTTAGTTTATGCTTATGGAAATCCCTTAAATAGGGAAAACAAGCACAACCAAAGACTTTTAAGGAAGAATAAAGCGGAATTCTACCAAACAAAATTTGATAAGGAGAGATAAATTTCAAAACAGAAGAAGGCATTCTATTTATTAAAAAAACAGCAGTTTCAAAGGCAAGCCGCCAAAAGTGCAATGACATGGATGCTTGGGCAAGTAAAGTAAGACCGGTTTCAGCAATATGTCTAGGTTTTCTCTCACTATGCCCATTTTGTTGATGAACATAAGCACAAGAATGTTTAAATTCAATTCCAGCATTAGTAAGATAAGAAATTAATCCTTTGTATTCACCACCTTGGTCAGAATGTAAACATTTCAGTTTGGTATCGAATTGTCGTTCTACCAAATGATAACCTAATGAATGTGGAACTAACCTCAGCTTTGGTTCGTAATGGAAATAACCAGGTAAAACGACTATAATAATCTATGAAATATATGTAATACCTAAATCCTTCTAGAGAAGCCATTGGCGCTGGTCCCCAAACATCACTATGTATGAGTTCTAAAGGGTGATCAGCTCTGGATAGAGATACATGAAAGCTTGTTCTATGTGTTTTTCCTAACTTGCAAGCATCACAAAAAGATAAGACAGGACCAGACTCTAGAGGTTTGATATGAAGCTGAGTCAAAATTTTATTAAGAGCTTCAACATGTGGATGTCCTAGTCTATTGTGCCAAAGGTTCATGTTTGCAGCTGTGTTAGTAACTTGAAATGCAGATGATGCAATAGGTAACACATGAGAGACAGAACCAGTATGGTTTTCATTAGAAAAAGAATCAGTAGTCACTTTGGTACAATCAGACATAGCAGGAATTATATTATGAACAAAATCAGTAACTTGAAGTGCAGATGATGCAGTAGGCAACACAAGAGAAACAGAAGTAGTATGATTATGAGATGTTAAAGCACAGTCATTTGTAACAGGCAAAGCACACTGGGCAGAATTAGAATTAGAGCTACTATGTGCAGAAAGAGGCAATATACATAAATCAGAATTAGAATCAGAATTAGAAAGAACATCTTTAAACAAATTGCAGTGAGAACTTTTATTTATTGAAGTTGAATTACAATTAGAAACAACATTTGCACTAATGTTTGAACTACTTGGCTGTAAACTAAAATCAAGGGTGCTGGATTTACTATCAGTAGCAGCAGAAACACTCAAGTTACACTTAGGATTAATGCTAGGATTTAAAGACTTATTCATAGCCATGGAACTAAGGCCTTGGGAAGTAAAATAAGGTTGACAAAGTTGATTTGAAGGACAAGGAACTATCTGTCCAGGACAATCAGAGGAATTATGTGAAATCTCATGAGTGGATGGCAAGGTAGAAGGGATGTGCAATTGATACAAGCCAGCTTTAAGTCCTCCTTGCAAAAGCACTGTTCAAGTGTCCATGTCCTTAACAATACAACAATCAAAATTAAATTCCACCACTACATTGTTATCCTTTGTGAATTTTGAGATGCTAAGGAGATTCTTAGTTATTCTAGGCACATATAAGACATTTCTCAAGTATAAACATTTAGAATGTAAGGAGTTGGGTAATAAAGTAAAACCAACATGGAATATGTCTAGAGACTCACCACTCCCATCTTGTAGTTGATCTATACCATCATAGCTCCTAATTGCTGCTAAGTGATGAGGATCAGAGGTAACATGGTCAGTTGCTCCTGAGTCCATGTGCCAGGCTGGATCAGTTGGTGGAGTAGAAGAAATAGTCATAGGTGTATGTGAGGTTGAAGATTGAGGAGGATATTGGTGAGAGATAAAGTAAGCTTGACTAGGTTGTTGTGTTTGAGCATTAGGAGGGAAATTGGTTTGTGTTTGAGCTGATTGTGGAGTGGGAAAGGATGTTGATTGTGGAGTGGGAAAGGATGTTGTATGATAGGCTTGGTTGGGTAAGGAGGTTTGCTGACTAGGGACTGGAAAACTTGGTGGCTGGTTAGTGGCTGGAAAATGTGTCTGCTGACTGGGAACAGGAAGATGTGACTGTGGATAAACTTGTTGTGAGGTGGAGAATTAGGCAATATGACTTCCAAAGGGCAGATTACTACCAAAAGAGTTGCCACCCGTGGTAGCAAACTGAGATGTAGATCCAGGTTCTCCAGTTTGAGGAAACGTGCCAAATTGAGAGTGAGAAGTTCCAAACTGAGGTGGAGTGCCATTGTAAGTAGAATTAAACCTATGATAGCACTGCACTGCTGTGT